AAACTTTTCTCCTTTTCTCCAGGTCACCACATGTATGGATCCCTTCACTCGTAGAATAGGTGCTGGGGTTCGAGGAGTGGGACGTTCCCTGGGCAGCACTACAGGGTTTAGTGTCTGTTACATAAGCGAATGCTAGAGATATATGGGTCCTTGTTAATATTCATGGTCGTTTGATTTCCTCTGCAAACCGCAGCTGCACTGCTTTGATTTCTTCCCAGAAGGTACTCACCACTTCCACAGATTTTCTTACGGGAAACATAATCCCACTTTCAACGCTACTGCTATGTATTCCCCAATTCCCTGAGTAGTGAGAAGTTCCAGGATTCCCCAATAGGGTTTCATTTCCCTTTGCATGAATGCATGCAAGCATACTTGGGAGACTCCAGGCGCTTAAATAATATTTGCTTTATTTACATATATACAGTGCTTTTTTTCTAGAAGAAGAGGTGCTGGAACTAACTGTGAACACCTCATACAATGGCAATGGCGCTTACCTGAGAGGTGCTGGAACTGAGTTCCTGCATATATATAAAAGCAGAGCATAGTGGAGAGGTATAAGCAGACACCTGATTATTCTTCAGGTTAAGAAAGGGGGGAGAGACTCTGCTCCCCAGTTTCAAGTCATTCCATCTAAACTCTCCATTTTTTTCAGCCTAATGATCTTCAGACTACAGTGGTACCTCGGGTTACATACGCTTCAGGTTACAGACGCTTCAGGTTACAGACTCCGCTACCCCAGAAAGATTACCTCAGGTTAAGAACTTTGCTTCAGGATGAGAACAGAAATTGTGCTCCGGCGGCGCGGCAGCAGCAGGAGGCCCCATTAGCTAACATGGTGCTTCAGGTTAAGAACAGTTTCAGGTTAAGAACGGACCTCCAGAACGAATGAAGTACTTAACGCGAGGTACCACTGTATAGTTTCTGTCCCTCCCTGCTTGTAGAGCACTGGTCTGAAACCGGACCTCACCAGTGAAGGAGAATGAACAATTCAGAAAACAGTTGTGGTCATGAAACTGGAACATTATTTTATTCAAGTCCTTAAAATTCATTTACAGCGATCAAGCTGGCCATACTAGCTCACGCTTGATCTTAAGAAGGTTAGTTGGTCCGAACCAACAAGGTCTTTTCACCAACTGAATGCTGCAAGTACCGCAGGTCTTAAATTCAGGACTGACTCTGTGCCTTGAAACTCCCATTGACTCCCCCCCCCACACTTTTTGGCCTAGAAACAAACACTCAAGTTTTGCTGTTGAGCGGGACGATACACAAACTGCCCAGCATGTATGGTTCAGTTGTACACAAAGTCAGAGGGGTTTTTGTTGTTTTTGAGAGCTACTCACCGCCATGCATTTGCTTTCAGGTGTTTTTTTCTCAAGTTGTTTGTCCTCCCGGGCAGTCCTCTGAAGGCTGACTTCTAACCCCATTTTTCTTGAGAGCCTAAATGAAAGGTGAGACCTCAAGCACATGAGGTGCCAATCATAAAGGCTTTGCTCAACCCCCAGGAGTACTGCTACTGTTATGTTTACCTGCTGCTAAACTGTCAAAGAGAGCTTGAAGCCTGATATTTCTAGTTCAGGTGGGATTTTAAAAGGCTGGAAAATATTTCAGCCTTGTTACAGCCGCCGGGGGAGTAGCAAAACTGTTCTGCGCAGCTCTTAAAACCTGCTGTATGGGTGACCTGCCTTCAACAACATCTGCCATTACAACAGATGTTTTGCCAGCAAATTAGCCCTGATGTCTAATTAAGACCAAGGAAGCCTGACACAACTATCAGTCTACAGGGTGGCAAATTTTCGACATCCCACACAGGTTACTGTACAGTGGTACCTTGGGATGCGAACGGGATCCGTTCCGGAGCCCCGTTTGCATCCTGAATGGAACGTAAGACGCAACGGCGCATCTGCGCATGCGCGGGTCACGTTTTGCCGCTTCCGCGCATGCGCGTGACATCATTTTGAGCGTCTGCACATGCGCGAGCGGCGAAACCCCGAAGTAACGCGTGCCATTACTTCTGGGTTGCCGCAGAGCGCAACCCGAAAGCGCTCAACCTGAAGCACATTCAACACGAGGTATGACTGTATCACCCAGGGACATGGATGGCGCTGTGGTCTAAACCACTGAGCCTCTTGGGCTTGCCCGTCAGGTCGGCGGTTCGAATCCCCGTGATGGAGTGAACTCCCATTGCTCTGTCCCAGCTCCTGCCAACCTAGCGGTTCGAAAGCAAGTCAGTGCAATAGGTAAATGCAGTGCGAAGGTAAATGGCGTTTCTGTGCGCTCTGGATTCTGTCACGATGTCCCATTGCACCAGAAGTGGTTTAGTCCTGCTGGCCACATGATCCGGAAAGCTGTCTATGGACAAACGCTGGCTCCCTTGGCCTGAAAGTGAGATGAGTGCTGCAACCTAATACAGTGGTAAAAGTAAAGGTAAAGGTACCCCTGCCCGTACGGGCCAGTCGTGTCCGACTCTAGGGTTGTGCGCCCATCTCACTTAAGAGGCCGGGGGCCAGCGCTGTCCGGAGACACTTCCGGGTCACGTGGCCAGCGTGACGAAGCTGCTCTGGCGAGCCGGCACCAGCGCAGCACACGGAAACGCCGTTTACCTTCCTGCTATAAAGCGGTCCCTATTCATCTACTTGCACTTAGGGGTGCTTTCGAACTGCTAGGTGGGCAGGAGCTGGGACCGAAAGACGGGAGCTCACTCCGCCGCGGGGATTCGAACCGCCGACCATACGATCGGCAAGTCCTAGGCACTGAGGTTTTACCCACAGCGCCACCCGCGTCCCACAATACAGTGGTACCTCGGGTTAACTACTTAATTCGTTCTGGAGGTCCATTCTTAACCTGAAACTGTTCTTAACCTGAGGTACCACTTTAGCTAATGGGACCTCCTGCTGCTGCCACGCCGCCGGAGCACGATTTCTGTTCTCATCCTGAAGCAAAGTTCTTAACCCTATGTAATTTTTCTGGATTAGCAGAGTCTGTAACCTGAAGCGTCTGTAACCCGAAGTGTATGTAACCCGAGGTACCACTGTAGTCGCCTTTGACTGGACTTAACTGTACAGGGGTCCTTTACCTTTTACCTTTTTCTTTCTTTTGTTTTGTATCATCCTCAGAACTAGGGAGCTGATACACCTTGCAGGAGAATGGGGCTGCTCCTCTGTGTCCAACCAGTCCATGACAACTGCTAGACATAATGGCTATGTTTTTCCTCCATTGTCATTGAGCGTTATTGAGAGCCAGTGTGGTGTAGTGGTTAAGAGCAGTAGACTCATAATCTGGTGAACCGGGTTCGCGTCTCCGCTCCTCCACATGCAGCTGCTGGGTGACCTTGGGCTAGTCACACTTCTCTGAAGTCTCTCAGCCCCACTCACCTCACAGAGTGTTTGTTGTGGGGGAGGAAGGGAAAGGAGAATGTTAGCCGCTTTGAGACTCCTTCGGTTAGTGATAAAGCGGGATATCAAATCCAAACTCTTCTTCTTATTATTATTACGCCTGTGAATACCAGTTTCTGAGAACGGCCGGACGGGAAGGTGATCCTGTGCTTGCACATCTGGTTGCCCCTTGAGAACAAGATGCTTGTTTAGATGGGCTATTGGCCTAAGCAAACAAGCTCTTTTGATGTTCTTGACCACTGGTAGAACTGAAGCTATTTTGAAGAAATTAGAACTCTGCATTGCCTGGAGAAAAATAAATGAGTCATGGAACAAAGTGAAAGAACAGGAAAATCTTGATTGCTGTTACTTTAGGTGGGGAATGTGATAGACCTTATTTAACTCACTGCCTTCTCCAGTGCCAACTAAAAGAAATAGAGGAATGGGGGGGTGGATACTCTCCCAGTGTTTAAAAATGCATTAAAAAACTAAAACCCAAACTCAAAATGTAGGAAGAGTATAATAATAATAATAATAATAATAATAATAATAATAATTTATATGCCACCCATCTGAGTAAAAATAATAATAATACTAATACCAAACTCTTGGTTAAAAATATGAATGATTAGAGTAAAAACAAATCACATGATGTATCTGGTTTAAAGATTGAAGGAAAGGTTAAGTATTTGGGGCTACGGGTAACAGCAGATAATATAATTTTGTATAAAGATAATTGTTTAAAAGCTTGGGAAGATATTAAAAGAAATTTGGAAATTTGGAATAAAATGAATCTTTCACTATTAGGTAGAGTGTTGACTGTAAAGATGAATGTATTGCCAAGAATGTTATTTCTGGGTTAGTGGAGTCTGTAACCTGAAGCGTATGTAACCTGAAGCGTATGTAACCCGAGGTACCACTGTACTGAAATCTAAGAATAGCTTTGGAAGTGGATATAGGCAGAGGGTTAGAAGTAGAAGATAGTGTATTTTATAAGTGATAAAATGTGAAGCTTTTTATGGTTAAAGTAAGTGTGATAAAAAAAAAGATGGTTAGAAACCATGATATATGTAAACTGCTAAAGATGAAGTAAAATGAAAATCAGATAGGTGGGACTTGGGGAAGCCCACTTAACAATGTTTAGGAAAATAAGGATACGACAAGAATTTGTTTGTATTGTTTGTCTTTTCTGTTTGTGTTTTTTATTTGTGTTATAAATGAATAAAAAAAATTGGGGGGGAGGGGAGGACTGCAGCCTGTGCAGAGCAGCGGCTGCGTTTGACGAAGTGTCCTGAACATGAGCTCTCCTTGTATCATTCGCAATGGGGTTCTTCGTGTCACATCCATGCTCAATTCCATCCAGCATGGAATGCATTCCTACCACAACTTTCCGGACTGTGGGACCTCAAAAAGTTTTGCAGTCGTGCCAATAAAATGCTTTAGGCGGTATTGTGACATCATGCCGGAAAGTGGGTATCTTTTGGGGGTTGTTGTTTTTTACGTTTCCACTTTTGGCTTCCCCCTCTTATGATGCATATTCTAGGCAGAACATAGATTCACAGAATTGCAAAGTTAGAAGGTACCATTAGGATAATCCTGTCCAGCCCCCTGCAATGCAGGAATCTTTTTTGCCCAACATGCAACTGGAACGCATGTCCCTGAGATTAAGGGCCTCATGCTCTTCCAACTGAACTATCCTAGGTGCTTAAATAACTAATAAGCTTAACATATGCAAAGCCAAACAGTTTTCAACTGCTTTAGCCAGGCATTGTTTGCTTTCCCAAAGTCTGCTAAGAAAGTCTGTGGCTGTTTATTGAACCAAATCTACAATATGCAGTTGTTTTCTGACTGCAATTTAGGTTTCTCTCTCTCTCTCTCTCTCTCTCTCTCTCTCTCTCTCTCTGTCTCCTTGTTCATTTGCAGAGAGGTAGTTCAACAAGGAACAGTCATCCTGTATTCATCTTGATTTGCTTGTGGAGTGTTCACACACACCTTCCCTTTAATCATTTCTCCATCACTTTCCTAATAGCAAAAAGTTAGTATCTTTTTAAAAATGGGCTTGGGTGACACAGCATTTTTTAAACCACTTGAATTGCACAAACCTGAGTTACTCAGTATGGACATAAAAACTTCCTGCCAAATACTGACAGTCTGGAGGTATCCTTAGAAGTAATGTAGAATGAAATGGAATTTCTAGTGCAGTGATAATATGTTTAAATTTATTTGTTCACCCTTCTGCCATCCCTATGAAATGCTTTTCAACATCTATATGCAGCCGCTGGGAGAGATCATCAGGGGGTTTGGGCTGGGTGTTCATCAGTATGCGGATGATACCCAGCTCTACCTCTCTTTCAAATCAGAGCCAGTGAAGGCGGTGAAGGTCCTATGTGAGTGCCTGGAGGCGGTTGGAGGTTGGATGGCGGCTAACAGATTGAGGTTGAATCCTGACAAGACAGAAGTACTGTTCTTGGGGGACAGGAGGCGGGCAGGTGTGGAGGATTCCCTGGTCCTGAATGGGATAACTGTGCCCCTGAAGGACCAGGTGCGCAGCCTGGGAGTCATTTTGGACTCGCAGCTGTCCATGGAGGCACAGGTCAAATCTGTGTCCAGGGCAGCTGTTTACCAGCTCTATCTGGTACGCAGGCTGAGACCCTATCTGCCTGCGGACTGCCTCGCCAGAGTGGTGCATGCTCTGGTTATCTCCCGCTTGGACTACTGCAATGCGCTCTACGTGGGGCTACCTTTGAAGGTGACCCGGAAACTACAACTAATCCAGAACGTGGCAGCTAGACTGGTTACTGGGAGCGGCTGCCGACACCACATAACACTGGTCTTAAAAGACCTACATTGGCTCCCCGTACATTTCCAAGCACAATTCAAAGTGTTGGTGCTGACCTTTAAAGCCCTAAACGGCCTCGGCCCAGTATACCTGAAGGAGCGTCTTCACCCCCATCGTTCTGCCCGTACACTGAGATCCAGCGCCGAGGGCCTTCTGGCGGTTCCCTCATTGCGAGAAGCAAAGCTACAGGGAACCAGGCAGAGGACCTTCTCGGTAGTGGCGCCCGCCCTGTGGAACGCCCTCCCATCAGATGTAAAGCGATCAACAACTACCTGACATTCAGAAGACATCTTAAGGCAGCCCTGTTCAGGGAAGTTTTTAATGTGTGATTTTAGTGTATTTTTGGTTTCTGTGGAAGCCGCCCAGAATGGCTGGGGAAACCCAGCCAGATGGGCGGGGTACAAATAATAAATTCTTCTTCTTCTTCTTCTTCTTCTTCTTCTTCTTCTTCTTCTTCTTCTTCTTCTTGTAACACTTCCACTAAACCCTGGCAATGTTAAATCTTCTGTTATAACAGGGCATCCTATTTTCTGGACCTCAATTTTTGCAGGTGTTCGAATCCCTATTGAGTATCTCCCGCCCACCAAATTCTGGATATATGGATGCTAGAATTATTACATAAGGTTTTCGGTTTAAAGATAAGGCACAACAAGGAAGCCGGGTATAGAGATGTTAACAGTAATTACTAATAGAAATTACATGGTCTCCTGCTGCCTCTGCCCAGGGCTTCCTGCCATTTCACCATGCTTATTGATGTTTTTCCTGTTCGAGTTAATGCTACAATTTCTTTATAGCAAAATAAAATAAAGGGGGCAGGCTCTGCAGAAACAAAGTGAATTTAGAGGTTCCTGCTTGGATGAAAAGGAAAGAAACAATTACAGTATGGCAAGCAAAACTTCTCAGAAGTGCAGCCCTATATGGGAAGTTTTTAATGTTTGATATATATTTTTTTTCATTTGATGTTTTAATTTGTTGGAAGCCCCCCAGAGTGACTGGGGTAACCCAGTCAGATGGGTGGCATATAGAAATATCTTTTTCCATGCATTGAAACAATGGTTCTGTATGATTTTATGTATTTTATATTTTAGGTAAACCATCCTGAGACCTTTGGTTATAGGGCGGTATAGAAATCAAATTATTATTATTATTATTATTATTATTATTAATCTGTCTTGCCAATCACTGGAATTGATTGAAACAGAAATAGTGCTTCAGGTTAAGAACTTTGCTTCAGGATAAGAACAGAAATCGGGCTCTGGCGGCACGGCAGCAGCAGGAGGCCCCGTTAGCTAAAGTGGTGCTTCAGGTTAAGAACAGTTTCAGGTTAAGAACGGACCTCCGGAACAAATTAAGTACTTAACCCGAGGTACCACTGTATTAGCATATTTTTTCAAATATTCCTTAAACTAGCAGTCCTAACCCAACCTACCAGGGAATAAGATTCATTGAATTCCATAGGACCTACTTCTGAGCAGACCCCCTCCACCGAGACTGCAGAACGGATAAAATAGTTTCCCCCTCTGAAACAGATGAAGACCTTTCTATATAAAACACAAATGACAGAATGTGTTGGTGATGCTATCTATTCACAAATGGCAGATTCAGAACATGCCAGGGCTCAGCGAGAGTTACTAGCCGCATCTGGGCACAGCAAAAGCCAAGGCAGATACATTTCATTTCCTGTTGGTGATGGATGGTATCAAGGCAGGAGGTCTCCTATATTTTTAGTATTCAGACTCTGGAGTAGTAACAGCATGTAAACATGCCATAGATTGAACCTGAGGCCTACATGCTTGTCCTATGGTTCCTCACATACTGATACTTTAAAAGATGCTATTTTGGGAAGAGGTCAAGTTAGAAGACTTTGGCTACGATTTCTTATCCAAAAAGGGGGGAAGCACCATTCCACTGAACTCAGTCACTAGCACTTCGGCTGAAATTTGAAACGCTTCTTTCTTGAGAAGGAACAAAATGAGCACACCGAAAACAGCGATGGAGATAAGATCAAGCCTAGTTCGTGTACACAGCCAGTGCCGGATTGACGTATAAGCTAAACAAGCTATAGCTTAGGGCCCCACTCTCTTGGGGGCCCCCAAAAAAATTAAAGGGGAAAAAACTGGATGTACATTTCCAAAATATAAGATAAAAAACAAATAAAATAAAACCTACATACAGCTACAATGTTTTGTGTTGTGTAGGCTCCTATGATGTAAGTAATGGGCCTCGCCTGCTAGCCTGCTCCCTAAAATATCACTGATTTGCTCATTTCTGTATACAGTGATGCCCCGCAAGACGAATGCCTCGCAAGACGGAAAACCCGCTAGACGAAAGGGTTTTCCGTTTTTTAGTTGCTTTGCAGGACGAATTTCCCTATGGGCTTGCTTCGCAAGACGAAAATGTCTTGCGAGTCTTGAGATTTTTTTCCCCGCTCCCCCCCCTTTTTCTAAGCCGCTAAGCCGCTAATAGCCTTTTAGCAGCTAAGCCGCTAAGCCGCTAAGCCTTTAATAGCCGCTAAACCGCTAATAGCGCTAATCCACTAAGCGGCTAATAGGGTTGCTTCGCAAGACGAAAAAACCGCTAGGCGAAGACACTCGCGGAACGGATTAATTTCGTCTTGCGAGGCACCACTGTATAGGGTGCCTATATTCTGCATGGACTGATTGCATGACAACATGTGCAAATGGCTTTAGATACCTATTAGGTCCACAAATTACCATATAGCATATATTAAACACAAAAAACAGCGAAAATTTGTTGTTGACAAAGGACAGCTGGGCATATAAAGGGCCCCATTACCTTCAGTAGCTTAGGGCCTCATCAAACCTAAATCCGGCCCTGTGCATAAGGACACCAAAAGATAGAAGAATTTGAAAGTTTGGCACAGAGTGGTTTTGTCATGTATATTTGTTGGCCCCTGAATTGTGATATGTTCCTAGCAGAAATGTTCCCACCACCACCACCAAAGGCAACAGGGACAAGGAGGATGCAAATTGCAAAGCGAACAGGCAAAATTATTCACAACGAATCTTCCTTGTTGGCTGCTCTGTCTGGAAAGGTAAAGAACACACAAACTTTTCTGGAATTCTGTTGGGTGTTCTCAACTGCAAAAATTCTTCGCTACTATCGTACAGATTCGCTGTTCATATTCAAATAAGAAGGAGTCATATACTTAAAAATAAATTAATAAATAAATCAGGCAGTTACAATCAAGGGAGCCAAAGATCTCCAGTTACTCTATATATCTTATTTATCTATTTTTTAAAAAAAATAGACTGCCTTTCAAAAAGCAGACCGCTTTTCAAAGCAAAACTCAAGTTGGCTTGCATAGGACGCATGACAGCAACTGGGAACCAGGCAGATGGCCTTCTCGATAGTGGCGCCTGCCCTGTGGAATGCCCTGTGTTTTACATCCCACATAATATATCCTCTCCTGCATCCCTGAACATTCCCACATGCCCTCCCATCAGATGTCAAGGAAATAAGCAACTATCTTACTTTTAGAAGACATTTGAAGGCAGCCCTGTTTAGGGAAGTTTTTAATGTTTGATTCTATTTTTAATATTCTGTTGGGAGCCCCCCAGAGTGGCTTGGGAAACCCAGCCAGATGGGCAGGGTATAAACAAACAAACAAACAAACAAACAAACAAACATTATTACGTATCAGCTTCTGAGCAGCTTCACTGCATAGATGCAACGTTTGCTGGCAGACACGGCTCATGTAGACTGCTGAAGGAACCCAAAAGTCTGATAGTTGGATACAAACTTTCCTGCAGCAAGCAAGGTTTCATCCTGCCCCCCGCCCCAATTTGTATGGTAGCTGAAAACACACTAGCGCTGATTTGTATTTTGTATTTTTCTTGCTCC